GAACGCCATGGCACAGCAGCTCCAGCTTCTTCAGATGCTCGCAGCCCAGGGTATCCCTCAGGACCAGTGGGGAACTGCCTTGCAGCTCTTCAGCATGACCAACAATGGTGGTATGGGCGGTATGCCGGGTATGCCGGGTATGCCTGGTATGTCCGGAATGCCTGCGATGCCTGGAGGACCGATGGCTGGATTCAACCCGATGCAAGGACAGAACGTTGGTGGGTGGGGTCACTCGGACGCCCAGAATAAGGATGATCGTGGCCGTGAATACCCTCGCTCGCCGCCCACTGGATATCGTCGCCGCTCTCGCTCTCCAGGCTGGGATAGACGCCGTACTGCCTCGCCCCCTCGCCGTCGTGACAGTCCAGTTTATGGAGAATATGGCGAATCGCCTGGTCGTCGTGGAGACCCGCGTGATGCACGTGGCCGTCGTGGTAATGAGTATCGCCAGCGTAGCCCTCCTGGTGGTCGTGGTGGTGGTAGACGTCGCTCGCCTTCGCCTGCTCGTAACAAGGATCCTAACCTGCCTCCCCCTGGACCTAAGTTCATTGAATGGGACTATTCGATTGGTCAAGGTACGATCAAAGTCTTGAGCCGAACTCTTTTCGTTGGTGGTGTCACCTCCTCCGAGACTCACCTCCGTCAACTCTTTGGTCAGTTTGGTATTGTTCAAACTTGCATTGTCAACGTGGATAAACGCCACGCTTTTATCAAGATGGTTAGCCGTACCGATGCCATGCAGGCGCGGGATGGAATGGAGTCTTACCGTACTGGTGAGATGCAACTCAGGGTAAGTTTTTTTCTTTTCTTTTCTTTTTTTTTTTTTCTGGTTATCTGTTTGGATCTTATCACTGACCTTATCAATATAGACTCGTTGGGGTGTTGGCTTTGGCCCCCGTGACTGCAGCGACTACCAAACCGGAGTTAGCATCATTCCGATTGAGCGCTTGACTGAGGCTGATCGCAAGTGGATGCTTTCGGCGGAGTATGGTGGAACTGGTGGACGTCCTATTGAATCTGGAATGATTGTTGAGGAGCCCGATATTGAAATTGGCGCTGGTGTTTCTTCCAAGGCTATCAGCCGTCGCATCGCCACTGACACTGGCGGCAAGCGAGGCCCTATTTCCACTCGCACCAACCCTAGCCCCCAGGATACTCGCTTCGGCGGTCGCCGTCCTGAGCGTGATGGATACGGTGGCGGTCCCCAGATGGGAGGTAGTGAACTTGACATGCCTAACATGAGCAATCAGGGAGCCGCACCTGCAGTTCCTTCGTATGGCTTTAACTTTGCCAGCATGCCCATGCTTCCTCCTGGATTCATGATGGGTGCTCAGCCCGGTATGCCCGGTGCTCAGCCTCCTTCTGGTGGTCAGGGCAACTGAATTTTTCTTCCTCATTGATGCGTGCATATGGTCCAAATAGGTTGCGCGCACTGCGCATGGCAAAGGCGTTGGGAGGGATTGGACTTAGGTTTTTTTTTTATCTCAAGGCATATCATTCGGCGGGTGGAGGTTTTCGTTTTTTTCTGCACTTCTCTTACCTTTTTAATTTTCACAGTTGTGCATGACGTCTCGCCAATGGTGATTGAAATAGGTGGACACATTCGGATGAAACAAATTTTACGAGAATTCAAATAACTCGTTAACGTGACTTCAATAGTTTCCTTGTGATTGTAAGCTTTTTTTGTTTTTTCGGCTCAGCCATGTGATTTCCCTATGGCAAATCTAGACGTGCCCTACTTGTATGTTGTAGTTAGTATCTATCTTGTAAACAGCGAACCTGTGAATTACTATATACAGTTAGTTTTGCCTCTTTAGATTTAGTGCCCCAATACGCTGTCATTAGAAGAACCTCGGAAGAAGGTATAACTAAATAACCTTTAAAGTGGTAGTTAGTTAACTATGTCTACATGAAATAGTTATATCTGCAAATTGATATATCTATCACCTATTGAACCCCCGTATTAGGCTAGACCAGGGCTGACGGGCCGAGATCTTCGAAGGTAAGCTTACAGACTAGAACATGCGTAAAGCAAAGATCAGCATCCTCATTGCTTGACTTCATACTGCTGTAGTCAACTGATGGGAGCCAACCGATCTGTCATCCAGATCACGTGCAACATCCTATACAACAACCCTTTTATTGAGAGTTGGTCTCTCTCCCATTTCTGCATACTCATTCTAGTTGTAAAAGTATTCATTGATATCGTATCGAGGTCATAACTATGCTTACCATGTCGCTATATAGTGTCCTTTCAGGTGTATTCCATCTTCATGCATGAGAACATCCATATGTGTCAGAACCTTCAAGCAGTACGGTCCGGCAGAGCCTTTGATGCCTGGAACGACTGCTCAAAGTCAGCAATGATGTCGTCAATGTACTCCGTACCAACCGAGATGCGGATTCCATCCTCCTTGACACCGGAATCACGGCGTTCCTGCTCGGTGAGCTGCTCATGGGTGGTGGACCAAGGGTGGATAGCCAGAGTCTTGGAGTCGCCGACACTGCAGTGTGTTAGTAAAATGGGTTCAAAGGAGAAGCAAATGAGAATGAGTCATACTTGGCAAGGTTGGAGATCAACTTGAAGTTATCAACGACCTGAGCACCAGCGGCAGCGCCGCCCTTGATGCCAACAGACAACACACCACCAAAGCCGCGGGGCAGGTACTTCTTTGCGAGATCGTGGCTAGGGTGATCCTCCAGACCGGGGTATGACACCCAGCTCACATTCTCGTTCTTCTGCAACCATTTGGCCAGGGCGATAGTGTTAGTTGCGTGTCTCTCGCAGCGCAGACTCAGAGTCTCCAGGCCGAGGATCAACTGCTGCGCAGCGAACGGGTTCAGGGCAGAACCAAGGTCACGCAGGATCTCCACGCGCACTCGGATAGCATAAGCAAGCGAGCCAAAGGTCTCCCAGAACTTCAACCCGTGGTAACCCTCGGATGGCTCGACGAATTGGGGGAACCGAGCAGCGTTCTTGCCCCAGTCAAACTTTCCACTGTCAATCACGACTCCAGCAATGGTGGTACCATGGCCACCGATCCACTTTGTAGCACTGTGCACGACAATATCGGCACCGTGATCAATTGGGCGAACGAAGTAGCCACCGGCACCGAAGGTGTTATCGACCTAAAAGTAAGATTCGTAAGCTTTGCATCCTTATACGCTTTCTAGACAAATAACATACCACCACTGGAACGCCCTTCTCGTGTGCAGCCTTAGCAATGGCCTCAAAGTCCGGAACGTTGTAGCGGGGGTTACCGATAGACTCGAGGTAAACAGCCTTGGTACGGTCATCAATAGCCGCGGCAATATCCTCAGGCTTGTCACCCTGGATGAACTTGGTAGTGATTCCCATGCGCGGGAACATAACCTTAAACTGGTTGTAGGTGCCGCCGTACAGGTTGCTGGTGGAGACGATGTTGTCTCCGGCATGGGCGAGGGCCGAGATGGCCATGAATTGGGCAGCCTGGCCGGAGGCGGCAGCAACGGCGGCAACACCACCTTCCAGGGCGGCAATACGCTTCTCGAAGACATCGACTGTGGGGTTCATAATTCGGCTGTAGAGGTTGCCGAACTCCTTGAGGCCGAAGAGCCTCGCGCCGTGGGCCGAGTCATTGAAGACGTAAGAGCTAGTGGCATAAATTGGGACAGCGCGGGAGTTTGTGGCTGAATCGGGTTCATGACTTGAGAGCTGTTAGACTGGTCTTTAAATTGGGGAGATCGGACACTTACCCAGCATGAAGTTGTAGAGTGTCAAAGTGAAGATTCTCGGACATGGTTCAAGAATGCGGGGGAAGCTAAGTGAATTTCGGATAAGACACTGTTCAACAGACCGATACCCAAGCGTATTAAGATTGAATTGAAGAACACAAAGAAAACGAAGATCTAGGAGAAGAAGGGAAAAGGGAGGGACAAGGGACAAATCTAAGATAATGTGGGGTGCAGATGGCGTGATTTGGTTGTTCCTGAAACGAAACCATAACTACGTTGTATAACTAGTTATAACTCTTGATCCCTATTAATGTATTAATGTATTAATGTATTGATTATATTTATTAATCCTTAATAGAATTATACTAGTCTAGCACTATATTTAGTCACATATTTAGTACTATATAATATCACTAAAATCCCCCTATAGTACCTCATAACACGCATCGTAGCACCGAAATGACCAAAGGTGGTGAATAAGCTTGCAGGTCGATTTCAAATTATAAAAGACATAGTTGTAGAAGGGGGTTTAATATGGGATCCAACAAACATTGTAGCAAAAATAGGGTTTATGTAGGTGGTGTTGAATAACAATGCTCTCCCTATATATCCATGTACTCCGCTTAGAATTCCCCATAACGATAGATACCTTCCTCAAGAGCTTTGATCCGGAGTGCCAGAACCTTAGAATAGTATCCTGCAGTTGCCAGGTTACCCCCATGAAAGTAGAATCCCGGGTGCCTACTATCCTGCCACATGGTCCTGACTTCGCCTTCGTTATTGTAACCCCAAACATCAGATGCCTTATCAGCCACCTTGTTGCCCAGAATCGTTCTTATTTCCGAGCGCATATTGTCGTATCCAGCGAAGATAATTTCGTCAGCTTCTAGCTCAGAACCATCGGCAAATTTCAGCCCTCGAGGCAGAACTTCAGCAATTTCCTGGCCTTGCTTCAACTATTGTGCGGGGTTGCGGGGGTGCGGAGTGCGGGGTGCGGGCTCATCCACCGCGTCTTAAGAGCTTAACGCCCATAGACACATGGGGTAGCTCCCATGGGTTTAGTAGTTGGTATATTAGTAGTCAAAGATACAATTCTTACCGTATTATTTAGTGGGCTCGAAGAAAGACATGTCCTAAGCCATTGGGCTACTGATGAATAATATGATAGATCCTGCAAATTAAATATAAAAAGGCCAAAGATCCTCTGAAGTGTCTATTACTCTTTGGGAGGTCTGTCTTGGAAGTTAAATACAAACCCCAATGCAACTCATCAGTATTCACAGCCCTCATACCCACCTTGCCTTATCTCCATGATGGCTTAGGAATAGGCCACTAGTCTCCGCATCCAGACGCTCAATTACCTGGAGGCTCTTTCTGACACTCTCCTCGGACTGAATCTGCCCCTTGAGCTTAGGCTCGACTGCCTGAAACTGCTTCAGCATGACTTCGAGCCCTTGCACTACCTGGGGAGGTTTATCTCCTGCGATGATATCAGTGTCCATCATTGCCTTGCTGTGGGAAAAGGTCACTTACCCTCCCATGTATCAACCCATCCAGGGCTTAAAGCCAACACCTTGATGCCTCTAGGCGCAAGTTCTGCTGCGTACTTGGCGACTTGAACATTCATCCCAGCTTTCGCGACAGAGTACGCGACAGCATAGCTGACACCACTCTTTTTGATCAAATCCAAATCTGCCATAGCGCTAGAGATATGCACAATCTTCTTTTGGATACCCTTCTCAATCAAGGGTAGGAAGGCGTTTGTCGTCCATATACCGCCGTAAATAGCGGTACTAAATGGCAGGTCAAAAATTGCTCGAGTGGCTTGAGCATCAAAAGGAATCTGAGTCGGATTGGAGGACATGGTAGCCATATCAACGGCGTTGGAGTTGTGGATAAGCACGTCTAGTTTACCACCTGTGATGACGGCTGCGGTTGAGGCAGCCTCAAGAATGGACTTTGGGTCTGTAACGTCGCCTTTGATAACGTGCACGTTAGGGTTATTGGAGGCGAGCTTAGATATTTCGGGCGATTCGGGGTCTCGCACAATAGCTAGGACCGTATTGGTCGTATCAGCAGCGAGTTGGCGCACGAACTCGCGGCCAATGCCCTTGGAGGCTCCGGTGATGGCGTATGAAGACATTGTTTATCTTTATTCAAGGTAAAAGAAAAGGTATTTCAGTGATGAATGTATTGGATATTCGTTCGATCTACTTGCCTTTTATATAGTCCACTGGTTAGTTATATACTTCGGCGGATTACAAACCTGTTCCGACCGGATGGTCCGGTTCCCCCGGTCCAACGACTCAGCAACCGGTCAAGGGTCAACCGGTCGCTCCGTTTCCTGCCCGGCATTTTATGCGACATCATGAACGTCACAATATCTACAGTCAAGAGGAGGGCATGCGTTGCATGCACGACTGCCAAGGCGAAATGCACGCCGCAAGCTGTCAACCTGTGCCAGCGGTGCGCCCGGTTGGGAAAGTCATGCACATACCTTGACCTTCCGCAGATCAAGAGGAAGCATAAGGCTGCACCGAGGTAATCCTTCCAAACACACATGGTACTTGTGGTATTAATTGTAAATATAGCCGTGTGGAGGTGCTAGAGAAGAAGGTCGACCAGCTGACGTCGCAGTTGGCTGCCTTAACCCGACAGAACGGACCCGATACTTCTAATCAACTCACCAATAACTTGGGCTCATCTTGTGACCCTGAGCTAGATTCGACAAACATTGTCGCACTGTTAGAGGTTGCTCAAGACCCGTCCCACGGCCTCAATCCACCGACCAGCTCCATTCTAGAAGGCCAACCGTCTATCGTAGATCAAGGGCTTTTGAGTGAAGCCGAGGCTGAACGCTTAGTTATGACCTTTCATACTGACTTGGTGTCCACGTTTCCCTTTGTATTGATTGCGAACGGCGAGACAGCCGCTCGCCTTAGGGACCGAGAGCCTTTTCTATTTTTGTGCATTGTGGCCGTGACCATGGGCAGTGCGCATCCTCTGCGCAAAATAGTTGCCGAGGAGATTATGAAGCATATTACGTTGAGGGTCGTGGCACGGTCCGAGAGGAATCTCGAGTTGTTCCGTGGTCTGTTGGTTTACATCGCATGGTACTCATATCCTGCAGAGAGATATCACCCGCAACTTTTGCTGTTGGTTCAGCTTTGTGTTTCGATGTTGTATGATTTGGGACTTCACAGAAAGCCTAGTCCGAATTTGGATGAGCAGCGGGTGCTGCTTGGTACGTATTGGCTGTCGGTTGGGTGAGGTTGTCTGCGCTGGTAGATGTGACTTCGGCTAAATATATATTAGTTTATGTGGCACACTCGGCCGGCCGGTTATTATGAAGCATGATGTTCGAATCGATGAGTGCATTGAGGGTATAATATCTACCGAGCATCTGTCGGATCGGTGGATTGCGCCATTTATCCATCTACAGTCGTTCTTGGCAACAGTGGATGAAGTTTACGCTTCGATGCAATCAAGCGGTGGAACGGTGCTAGTTCAAGTTACGCGCGGCTCTCTGCAGCGGAAATTTGATAGCGTGAGGGAATGTATAGAAAAAGATATCTCAAGCTACCCCTCATCAACAGGTATGTCTTGGACCCAAAGTGCCTGATGGAGATTGACTGACTGTTGCAGAGAATGCAATACGCACTGAGATCAAATACGTGGAAATGCGGCTCGAGGAATTATCTCTTCGGGGCGAACTGTGGATTGCGGAGCCTACCAGCGCAGTCCGGACAACGATGCTGGTAGGTGTAATCCAGCGAAGCAAGGAACTCATTCACATGGTCAAAAACCTACCTGTGTCGGAGATTGCCCATATAACAATATCTACAAGTGCTCGTATATGTGCCGCAGTGGGCTACATACCCACTGCAGTATTGACCCTTCTCAATCTCATTACTAGCCCTATCGACTCTTCCATGGAAGCCCAGGTGCAGGCCGTCGTTGACGCAGCAGAGTATCCCAAGGTTGTCACAGAGCTTGCCAACGCGCTGGAGACGAAATGTGAGGGAATGTCTGCTGCAGATAAAGAGACAGATATTGTGGGGAGCCTTTGCTCTAAAATGCGGCTATTAGCACGTTGTTATCCATATCAAATCAGGGCAATTGTTGGAAGTGCGCCGTCCCAAGAGTCTATGATAGCCGTTCACAACAATGAATTTGCTGTGACACCTCAAGTCTGGCCGGATGGATCTACCTACGGCGATCTGGACGACATGTTCCCTATCGACGACATCCAGTGGGATTCTCTATTGAGTGATTTTACTGGTTTTAGCTAGCATAGCTGATATCCATGGATGTTGCCTCGAGAGGTTTATAGGGATATTGAATTCATTCAGGCATCTTACGGACAGAGTCGGAGCTAAGGGGTCTTTTGACAAAGGTGCCTTACGTTAGAAGTAATACAAAACTCTAGTAAACAGTTATATCTTGGACCTCTAACTAAATGAACCAAGAAACGCCACATGATGATCGATAATTTCTCTTCCAATTGCCCAATGTCCCCAAGGCTTATCAAGTCCCTAGGCGCTTCTCTCCCCGAATAGCCGATTGGCAGCCGAGCCCCACAGTTATCGCGCAGACCTTCTCAATTAGGAAATCAAGAACACCTATCTTATCATATTGTCAGTTCAGTTACTCTGGGGTTATGACAAAAAGTATGGGGTTGTGATCGGAGTGTTGGTGGGTGTGGGTGGGTGTGGGTGGGTGTTGGATGTTCCTCGTTGATAAGTTGTGTCAATCCCCCCGGGTTTCATTTCAGCTTATTGTTTTTGTCACTCGCAGTCATGTCAGTTGAAGACGAGAAGCAAAAAGTGTTTCAAGGCACACCGAGTGAAGATGTTCGTCTGGAGAATTTGGGATATGAGCAGGGTATGTCTAAAGAGGAGAGATGCTTTGTGTTGCGAGGCTAACCAGCGTAGAGCTCAAACGTTCTTTCGGGTTGGTAGGGATGATTGGCTTTAGTTTCAGTGTTGTGACATCGTGAGTCCATTGCTCGTGGCCTAGCATGAGTTTGCACTAATTGCTTCCTAGATGGACGGCACTGAGTGGTGTGTTCATTGTTGGAGTAACCTCCGGCGGTCCTCCGGTTATGGTCTTCAGTTTTCTCGCCGTTAGTCTGTTGACTCTAGCTGTTGCAATCCCTATGGCAGAAATGTGTTCAATGTATCCGGTAGCTGGTGGTCAATATTCTTGGGTTGCGGCACTCGCTCCACCGAAAATAGCTCGAGGTCTTTCATACGTGACAGGATGGTTCATGCTAATCGGTAATCGTTTCTTAACTGCACCAACATCTACCTATAGGTACTAACTTGGAAATAGGTCTCTTGGCTATGGGTGCTACGAACAACTCCATTGCGTCCAACTTTGTTTTGGGAATGGGAAACCTCATCTTCCCCGAATTCGAGATTCAAAGATGGCAAACAGTGCTTGTTGCCTACCTTGTCGCATTCCTCTCTGCCGCCGTCAACCTCTGGGGCTCGCATTTCTTGCATCGGATCTCGAAAGCAATTCTTATCTGGAATGTTACCTCCTTCGTCATCGTCACCGCCACAATTCTTGCTATGAACGACCATAAGCAGCCCGCTTCTTTTGTGTTCCAAGATTTCCAAAATGGAACTAGCTTTAGTACGGGAATGGCTGCGATTATTGGTGTTCTCCAAGCTTGTTTTGGCATGTGTTGTTACGATGCCCCTTCGCATATGACCGAGGAGATGAAGTCCGCGTCAAAAGAGGCACCGAAGGCTATCGTTCTCGCTGTTATTCTGGGTGCTGTGACTGGATTCGCTTTCCTCGTTACCCTTTGCTTCTGCATTGGTGATATTGAGACCACTGCCAACACAAGCACCGGTGTGCCTGTGATTCAAATTATCTACGACTCCACTGGAAGCAAGGTGGCTACTTGTATTCTGTCGAGTTTGATCTCTGTGATTGTGATCGTCGCAGGAAATAACGTTCTTGCCGAAGGCTCGCGATCCGTCTACGCATTTGCAAGAGATAATGGCTTGCCATTCTCCAAGTTCTTCAGCAAGGTGGAGAGCAAAACCCACGTGCCTGTCAACGCCGTGCTTCTCACACTCGTTGTACAACTAGCCCTCGATGCCATCGAATTCGGTACTACCACTGGTTTCCAGACAGTCATCGCCATCTCAACTGAAGGCTTCTGTAAGTTTAATACCCTTCATTCGATGCTTCCTTTATTAATAAAAGAATTCCCAGACTTGTCATACGCAATAGCCCTTTTCAGCCGTCTAGCTGGCTACTATACCGGTCACGTAACCAAGCTCGATGGTCCATACTCATTCTCTGTCCCGGTCTCCATCGCGCTTAACATCATCGGACTCCTCTTTCTTCTCTTCGCAGCAATCACCTTCAACTTCCCTAGCGAAAATCCGGTTACTCACGAATCAATGAACTACACCAGCGCCGCAATTGGTGTTGTTGCTCTCATTAGCGGTATCACATGGATCACAACAGGTCGCAAGCATTTCTCGGGACCTGGTGCGGTTAGTTTCTTGAATGGTAAGAATACCGCGACACAAAATGCAGTGGAAGCAGACGCGCAGTGTGAGGATGAGAAGAAAACTTGATTCATTATTGGTATACCACATCGATTTATATTTACAATGTCTTCTCAAGAAGGTGATTTCGTGGGATATAGGAATGCACTCTTTGCAACGAAATATATATAAAGACAAATTGGAGTAGTATTGAAGTAGTAAATCATAACACCAACCTGATCATACAGAAAATGAAATGAGATAAAACATTGGACTATAGAACATGGTTTTGGCGCTCTCGGCTTCAAAACGAAACAAATGTGATATGTAAACGGCCTGGGAATTACTATATCGGGTTAGTTTTGCCTCTTTTAGTTTAGCGCCCCAATACCGGATTCCCTAGTGACTACGCAGGGTGAGCTAGAAGCTACCCTACACACCAACGCGACGCGAGCGCGACCGGTCCTGCGCTGGATGTTGCGCAACCTCCGCAGATGTTCGCACGTACTTACATTAATGCCCGACGAATTCATAAACAGGTATGCACTTTTGTCTCATACCAGTCTCTGGCCCGAAAGTCGCCATCCATATCCACCTATATGTCCCTGAAAGCAGATGAAATGAGCCGAGATACAAATGAATCTAGCGGATCTCGACCCTCGGCTACGGGACATGACAAGACTCAGTACATGCTTGTTGAATACGTCGAAGACCTGGATAGATACTGCCCCGGGGGGTATCATCCTTTACAAATCGGTGACGACCTAAATGACGGCCGATATCGACTGGTTGACAAGCTTGGATACGGAGGATACTCGACTATATGGCTAGCCCGTGATCTACAACGGGCTAGATACGTGGCAGTGAAGGCGATTACCGCCGATGCCAGTCCTTGTACACCTGAGGCCAGTCTTATGCATTCTCTTGGGAACTCACCGTCTACACCGGGTGGAGAAATTATTCCACCCCTCCTCGACGAATTCTGGGTTACTGGCCCTAATGGGAAACATAAGTGCATCGTTACCCCACCCGCGCAGATGAGTTTGTTCGATGCTAGAGAGGCTTCAACTTTCGGTCTTTTCCAGCCTAAGGTTGCGCAGTCAATTATCGCCCAGATCATTCGTGGAGTGGCCTTCCTGCATAGCAACGACATTGTACACGGCGGTATGTAAAGAATTACAAGTGGATTTAGCTGGATAGCCTAGCTGACCTCAATTTCTTCTAAGACCTTCATCTGGGTAATATTCTAGTCCAGTTTCCTGAATCCATCGATAGTTATTCTACGTTAGAACTATACGATAAATTTGGAGAGCCAGAGTTAGAAGCCGTTGTTCGTCTCGATGGCATTCCATTATCAAATGCAATACCTACACATGTCTTTATTCCTGGCTGGTTTGGCGTTCGCAGCGATGAAATTGCTCTTGGAAAGGAAAATATCGTTCTTAGCGACTTTGGTGAATCTTTCAACCCTTATAAAATTCCCAAGTTTTTTTCGAAGTCTCTTCCTCTCCTTCAGCCACCCGAGGCCCGATTCTCTGATGAGCCCCTCTCCTTTGCCTCGGACATTTGGACACTTGCCTGTACTATTTGGGAGATAATTGGCCAGCGACCTTTATTCGACGCTTTCTGGGCAACCGCTGATCGTGTCACCGCGGAGCAAGTCGAAGTTCTTGGCCTCTTACCTGCCGAGTGGTGGAAGAATTGGCATAAAAGGCTCGAATGGTTTAACGAAGAGGGAGAACTTGATGGGACATCTAGGGGCCATGATAGCGTGCATAGGACCTGGGACATGAGGTTTGACTACAGCATACAGAAGCCTCGGGCCGAGGCGGGCCTGGAGATCGTGACGGAGAGGGAAAGGAGGGCATTTGAGGCGATGCTTCGCCCAATGCTGACCTTCCGGCCCGGGGAAAGAGCGACGGCACAACAGGCATTGCACTCGGAATGGATGAAAGGTTGGGGTCAACCAGCTCTTGAAGAGAGTCGGAGTATATTTCATTCCGTGAAGGGATAAGGAAATAAATGTCTAATGACAAGCTTATATCGTGTCTTTTGAATAATATTAAATATGTATGCCTATAATAGTTGCTTCCTAGTCGCCATCCAACGTATTCCACTACCGAGTCGACCACTCCACCCAGCCTACTAATTTTAAATGCATTTATCTCAACCAAAACGCCATTAAATGAATTTAACTAAAATGAAACTATCTAGCTGGGCGTCTATTAAATCTATGCCCTGTTGATCCGCACCCACTACACCTCAGTGGCACCCGTATAACTATGTGGTTCTAAAGTCGGTTTTCCAGGTATGCTGGGGGTAGGAGTAGGTGCTTCAACTGTATCTACCGGCTCAGTAACTAATCAATTGAGAAGCTTGAACTAAATTAATATCTGCAGTGGGTTTCATTGCATCTCAAGCCACTCATACACCTTGATATCTCCATTCTTATGACCACTCTCTGTTAACTAAGCACAACCCAAAGCTTCACCATTTTCAATGTGTATATTTTCATGTTATATTTTAGTTTATTAAACTTACTCCATACGACTCCATACGACTCCATCTGACTCCATCGATGGAAATTAAAAAAGTGGACCTGCGCGGGATTGAACCACGAATCTCCGAGGAACAGACATGAAAACTCCCAAGAGGGATGTTTACATAAGCTCGGCGCCTTAACCATTGGGCCACAGGTCCTAAGTCGCAACTCCGTCGATAATGACCCACCTTATAAGATTCACTTCTCGTAGTCCCCAGTCTCACTTAAAGCCTTGTCTCAGCTTGGGGAGGCTGGTTCGATATACAAGTACTATGTTGCAGGACTATCGTCGCTCTTCATTCAAACTTGTATCAGTCTGATGAGGAATGCGACAAGGATACCGAAAACATTGCATTATGCATTTAAGAAGTCAAGGAGGAAAAATTAAAATTTTAGATAAAGTAAAATTCGGTTGAGCTAAGTGGGTCACGTGTGGGGCTTAAGCCCTACACCTACCCCTGCATGCGACAGAATCCAACAGAGCATCTTGCCAGTTGGTATGTTATGTTAGTATCACTTTTCTTAGTTCTTGGAATTGGTTGTAGCTTTGTCAAATATGTAGATACAATAAATTCTTCTGTTAATATGTACACCACGGTGCATAGTTATCTTGGTCTTTGTCAACATCAATCCCTAAAAATGTAGCTTCGTACTCTCCTAGAGGCGTTCAATCACCACATGCATCAAATCTGCATCGCAGAGGTGGCGGTCTCCATCGGAAAGCTTGACCGTGATCCACCGCAGACCTGGGCCTGATTGATAGGGCTCAAGGATGGCTCGACCATTCTCCCTAGATACAGTAGGACCTGGGTGCTTAAGACATGACGTGCGGGCTGACTATGTGAATTGACAACTGGGATGAGTTTGTTAGTTTAGGTTTCACGTGCGACAGTGAAGCGCGTTGCTATGTGGTGGTAAGAAAGGCCAAGATAAGGACGCTGTGTGTTTATATATACGTCGTTTTGAGGTAAGTACTAGCTTGGACCTGGTTTTCTCTTGGTATTTCAATGGTTATTTATTATGGAGTCAACAAATAAACAGGATATAATTGTTTAAATATCAGCTCCGTAGCAAAACAAACCTCAAAGGTAGACATTTTGTTCTTGATGGTGTAAATAGCAACAAAGATATTTTCTGACTCTTGCCATCTTCCAGTGTAAACCAACGTATAATCCCTTTCATCCCACGACATTATTATTAATTGGCTTCAAGTTCCGATCTGGCAGCTCAACTACAGCCTTGAACATGCCGAGTGATCGGCCCGGTCTCCCTCGATCACCATGCCAGCTTAGCCAATATGCGTGAGCTTCGCAGTCTTTGTTAGTGAGCGCAACTGCTCGGGAGATGAAAGAGGCTGTTATTACTCATGGTCCATGGCGCTTTCGCAACAATGTGTACCTACCTACCATTTTCATCCATGGGTGTGCTTGCATATATCCCAGTTTTTTTTTTTTTCCAGTCCGGCAGGGAAGGGGATGTAGTACCTCGGCTTTTCCAGGGTGTCCGAGCTTTTCAAGATGCAGATCTCTTCTACCCTGTCCTTAACATCCCATAACCCAGACCGGCCACAAATTACTGACCATCCCACAACTGGTGCAAGGGGCAATGCCCAAGAAAATAGTCATGTGAGAATGGGATGGTCAGACTGAAATGTAACCATATGCAGAGTCATTTAACCGACTAGCGTTTCCCGTTAGACTATAGACGTTAGTCGATAAGCGTTAGTCTATAAGCGGGATGGTTAAGACAAAGTCGTTTCCTTTCTGCCATGTCGTATTCGCCCCCCCGGTATGTTTCTCTCGGTGAACCAATCACCTCCATGAACTTGTCTTTCTCTTTATTTCTCCTTCTTGTCTGGGGCCCCGCATCCAAATTTCATGGGGATTCATTCCCCAGGAATAAGGCCCCATACTTTGACCAGTCAAATGCCTAGACTCACCGCAATTTTAACTTCCTCCGGCCTTCCCTCCCAAGCTTGGTTACTCGCAAACGCCACCAACCCTCTGGTCATTCGATCCCCCAACGCCCTCGGCGTTGGCTAACCTTTTATAGTCGCAACTAAGCCTCCAACACATTAGGTCCAGTGCCTGCCCAGGTTCGGGTAAATTGCACTCTGTAACCGTGGTGCTCGCTTTTAGGAAATGGGGAAAACCCCGGCGGGATGAGGTTGCCCCCCTGCTTATCGCTGACCTGTTTAACCAGGTCTCAGAAGGCAGAATTAATCCACGTATCACGCACATAATGTGCGGCTGGAAAGATGCCCACATGGGTCAAAGAATATAAGACCCCCAAGCCCACCTTAGTTTTTCTTTTTCTCTGAGCTTTTGATTTCTATCCCCTTTTTGGCCTGGAAATAACAAATATTTCCAAAAATGGCGTTGGATCTCGACAATAAAAGCGATGAAGCGCACGGCGAGAAGGCCGCCGTTGAGCAATCCGAGGTGTTGGTCAAGTCGGATCTCATGAATGATGCCTTCGATGGCGAGAACCGCGAACATGAGATGACTACGTGGGAGGCTATTAAGAGCCATCCCTGGGCTTGTTTATGGGCATTTACCATGTGCTTCACTATCGTGAGTTTTTCATATTGAATTTCCCCGCATTTCGGGTTTTCCCGAGATCCCCAGATCTGCATATCATATCTCCATATCTCAAGATCATATCAGCTGATATACATCCCCAATCAGGTCATGGAGTCCTTCGATATGTTCCTGAATGGTAACTTTGTAGCGCTTACCGCTTTCAAAAATCATTATGGTATCGACGTCGAGGGACACGGTAAAACTATCCCAACCAAATGGCAGTCGTCCCTCTTTCAAGCGGGCCAATGCGGCGCTTTCGTCGGCGTCTTTTTAGCTGGTCCTGTAACAAACAAGTACGGCTACCGTCTGGTGAGCTTCAAGACTCTAGTCGATAACCTCGAGGCATATCCTAACTTTCTTTAGACTACCATCTTCGCTTTGCTGCTTATGAACGCCACAATTTTTGTTTCCTTCTTTGTGAGCAAGCTAACTCCCCAATCGCTGAGCTCATCCCCTAACGCGGTTTAGGCCAACTCGCTCACCCTCCTTGTGGTCGGTCAAGCCTTAGAAGGTGTCCCTTGGGGATTCTTTATTGCAAACTCTCCCGCCTATGCCAGTGAGATTGTGCCTCTCTCCCTGAGAGGTGCCTGTACAGCTACTCTGCAAATGAGTTGGTCCATTGGCTCAATCATTGTCGCCGGCGCAACCTACGGCTACAACAATCGCCTTGATGAATGGGCTTGGCGAGTACCTCTTGCCTTGCAGTGGATTTTCCCTGTCGGTCCTCTCCTTTTGAAATTGCGTATTTACAGGTCCTAACCCCTTCTAGACCCCCCTCTTGGTCCTACTCTTCTTCGCCCCCGAGTCGCCTTGGTGGCTGATTCGCCGCGGACGCAAAGACGAAGCCCTTCGTTCCATCAAGCGTCTTGGTAGTGACTCTGACGAGCATGCTCAGCAGAAACTCGCCATGATAGAGCGAACTGTTGAGATCGAAGCTCAAATGGGTGGTTCCCCAACTCTCATCGACCTTCTCAAGGGAACCGATTTAAGACGAACAATCATTACCTGCTTGATCTACGCGTCACAGAACTTCGCTGGTAACCTGATTGCCAACCAGGCAACTTACTTCTTCGAACGTGAGTAACTTCATTTTTCTTTATAACCAAGTTTCAACCCGCAATGGATGACTGACTCCGTATTAGAGGCCGGAATGGGTCCCGACCGTGCATTCCAACTTAATCTGATCAACTCGTGTCTTCAATTGGTTGCCAACATAATCTCTTTACCTCTAGCCTCCTTATTTGGTCGCCGAACCATCTATCTCTGGGGCACAGCTACCAACATCACACTTCTTATGCTTCTCGGCATCTGCGCCTCTATTAGCCAGAACGACGCGACCAATTACGCGCAAGCCGTTCTGGGAATCATCATCTCCTTCGTGTTTGCCGGCAGTCTCGGACCCATCTCATACACCATCATTGCCGAGACCTCATCCGTCCGTCTTCGCGCTTTGAGTACCGGTGTGGGTCGTGCCGCGTACTATGTCGCCGAGATCCCCATGATCTACCTTGCCTCGCAGATGCTCAACCCTACTGGATGGAATCTCGCTGGAAAGTGTGGTTACGTCTGGGGAGGTACTGCTTGTGTCTGCTTCGTGTCGGCCTACTTCTTCCTTCCTGAGCTGAAGGGTCGCTCTTACCGTGAAAGTGATATCTTGTTCAATCGCAAGATTTCTGCTCGAAAGTTCAAGTCGACCGTTATCGATGTTAGGGATAACGAGTAAGGAATGGCGATATGAGAGAATGAGATATGCTTTTGTTGGCTTCTGGAGCATGTTAGCTCAGAAGAAATGCTTTTTGAGAGACTCTTGGGTCCTCGAGTACACCTTGCAAGCTTTCTCCTCGGTATATATGCGTAACAGATACTTTTGCTTCCCTTAGCCTATATACA